TCTCATCATTCAATTTACAAAAATTGAAAATTTTTGCCCATATGTTGAATTTATTATGCGAAATCACAAACTTAATCAAATCGTCTAAAAACTATTTAAGCAATTTTTATTAGATATTCCAGAAATTATAAAAATAGCTGTAACAGTACATAGTATTACAGCTGTTTTCATAATTCCTAGGACACCTGATAAAAATTAGCCGAATGATTTTTCAGCCAATCCGATTAAGTTATTATTTCAGCATAATAATAATCAATTCAATAAAGATTAATATAATATATGTAATTTAAACTCAGGTAATAATATTACAGTAAGATTATGCATGTTTTTTGTTGAATCCAAAAAAAACAAAGTTACTTTCAAAGCGCGTTCGCTGGCAAATTGTTGAAAAAATTTAAAGGCCTATCAATTCAAAACATTGCAAAACACTCAAGTTTTAACAAGTCTTCTATAAGTCGGGTTTCTGCACATTTTCAAAGATATTTCTGTGTTAAAAGCTTCTATCGCTTCAAAAAAAAAAGTTCTCTAAACATAAAAGATATAAAATATCTTAAAACTTCATGAAAGAAAAACCTAACTGATACTTGTATGAATTATGGAATTTTTGGTTGGGGCATAAAATCAGTCTCAAAACAATTTGGAGGGCTAATTACCGACTTGAATATACACACAAAAAAGTAATATTTCGTATATTTATACATATATTTATTTTATTAATTTATTAACAATTTTAATTCTATAGATTTCAAAACTCGCAAAACAATTCCATTTTACGAATGTCTCGTATTGTATTCAAGAAGGTTTTATAAATTCTATTGATTATAAAAATTCTACGTATTGAACATGTTTTAGTAAGAATTTTATTATGTAAATATGATATTGATATGTTTAATATGGGTGATCATTTTTGAAATCGGACCAATATTGTAATTAATTTGTAACGTAGATATCGTAGCTAAATTAGACCTGATTCAAAAAAAAAATTTTTTTATATACTGATCATGCCAAAATCAATAACTTAATCGAATCGGCCAAAAATTATTCGCTAATTTTTATCAGAAATTATGAAAACAACTGTAAGCATTTTTTATTACTAACAAGTTTGACTAATTATATTTCTAACCTAAAATTTCAAACCACTTAATATTAGATACTTTCCTGTTCCTGGTTTTTCGCCGATGACTACATTATTCAGATTAATGCCATGGGTGTATATTAATCTGATAGCTAATCTAATGGTTGATATAATAGGTATTATATAATCTAAACTGTTGAGATCTAACAGTTGATCTAACGGTTGATATGACAGTTGATGAGTGTGAGCGTTATATGATATAATGGTTGAATCTAATGGTTGATTTAACAGTTTATTGATATAATCCCTATAAAAAATTTTTACATGTAATTTTACACATAATTGCACATGACTCATGAAATATAGCATGTCAAAAGCACGGAAATCAGATCAGTTGTACAGAATCTGCATACTGTCGGAGGCAAAACTATCTCGTGATGTCACAGAAACAAAAAAAAAACAACTACTTGCACATGGCATAATCTACCCTAAGTAGGAATGGCCCTGCCAAAGCCCCCAAAGAAGTCTTAATGGAGTAATTGTCACATCAGCTTTCGGGAGAAGACCACGACTAAAACGTGGCTGAAACATGGCTAAATCGAGGCTAAGAGATCCCAAGGCCAAGGTAAACCAGGGAATGGGCTAGAACATTTAGTCCGTGGAAGGCCCATCCTTCTTAAAAAAATATCCAAGCACAGCCAAAAAAGGGGTGATGGCCTAAAGATCGTCCACCAGTATGGGGCAAATCAGGAAAGGATGTAGCAGTATTAGAATGCCACTGTCTCTACTGTGGGAAAAGAATGTAGTAAAGAAATGTAATAGTGTCTTAATTCTGGAGTAAAAGGGCAAGACTTAGAATTCTCTAGTTTCTTTTTGTTCTTCTTTTTTTCCATTTTCAGTATAAATAGAGTAGTGAATTTGATACAGTTGTAAGAGCATTGAAGTCCGCCTTCAAATAAATAAAAATACAATTCAAATAAAAACTTAACACCTCTCGCATACAAACATCATTCATTTTGGTTCTTTTAATCATACATCGTAAACCAATTCGCCTTACCTTAAGCCAAATCTTAATCACCGCCTCTTGTTTTGGTTTTGTTGTGTGTGGTTTGTGTAGTTTTGTGTAGAGTAATAGCCATTCTCATCTTCTCATTTAGCCTTCGACAATACACACAAAATCGATGAACACATAATTAACCAAATAATAAATGGCTACGTACGTAACTATCTCTTAAACCATCAGGTTTAGTGTACAAATTTGTATGCTAAATTAATTTGAAGCAAATCGAGTTTAAAAAAAAAATTTT